CGGTTTTTTAGTTTTTCTTGTTCCGTTGTACGAATTCTATTTCTGTTTTTTTAATTAAGTTCTATTTGTATCTTTTTTTTTTGATTCCACATATAAGTGATACATTTGTCTTTCTCTGTCTGACTTATTTTACTTAGTATGATAATCTCTAGGTCCATCCATGTTGCTGCAAATGTTATTATTTCATTCTCTTTTATGGCTGAGTAGTGTTCCACTGTGTGCATGTGTGTGTGTGTGTGTGTGTGTGTGTATGGTGTATAGATACACCATACCTTCTTTAATCCATTCATCTGTCTGTGGGCACTTAGGTTGCTTCCACGTCTTGGCTACTGTAAATAGTCCTGCCATGAACATTGGGGTGCATGTGTCTTTTCGAGTATAGTTTTCTCCAGATATATGCCCAGGAGTGGGACAGCTGGATCATATGGTAAGTCTATTTTTAGTTTCTTAAAGAACCTCCATACTGTTCTCCATAGTGGCTGTACAATTTATATTCCCACCAACAGTGTAGGAGGGTTCCCTTTTCTCCACACCCTCTCCCACATTTGTTATTTGGAGACTTTTAAATGATGGCCATTCTGACCAGTGTGAGGTGATGATACCTTATTGTGGTTTTGATTTGCATTTCTCTAATAATTAGCAGTGTTGAGCATCTTTTCATGTGGCTGTTGGCCATCTGTATGTCTTCAGTGGAGAAATGTCTACTAAGGTCTTCTACCCATTTTCTGATTGGGCTGGTTTTTGGTATTGAGCTGTATGAGCCACTGGGACCCGTCTTGACCCTTGTTGGAGGATGGGGATGAGCAGTCCCAGAACACAGCCCAGTTGGTTTCTGTGACTTATCCCAATGTTTTTGCCTCACGCCTGCCCTGGGAGTCCCCAGAGGTCATGAAAACTTTTCCCCAAGCTTTTCCCTCAGCGAGGACTCAGGAGGCCCGTAGTCCATTCATTATCACCCTTGGGCCACGGAGCATCCGCACTGAAGGAGGAAAGAGACTTTCGTCCACTTGAATGCTTTATCCCTCAGCATTTAGCTCTTGGTGATGCTCTAAGCTATGGGGCTGGAAGGGTAGGACAGAGTTTCAGCTGCTAGTTGGGCATAAATGCTTGAGGCCCAAGCCCCTCTGACACTTCTTGCTGCATTGCTCGCATCCTGGGGGATTCTGATGCTCTCATTTGCTCTGTTATGCACCATGGCTAATGTTCTATATTAATTCCTGTTAGACATTAGTTACAACATATAAAGGGAGTGTATAGATGCTCAGATGGTCCTCTGTGAGGTCAAGTATGAGTGAAAATCTCCCCCACACCCACCAGCATTCAGACAAATTCAGTCTTGTGCACTTTCCTGCAGCGGACAGTCTGATGCGGCTAGTAGTTTGTCTTGTACCTAAACTGCCTCCAACTCCCTCTACGTTTTGCCTTTGCTAAAAGCATCCCCCATGTCTGGATTCAATCCACCTGTTAATCGCTACTTCTCAAATACCTCCCATGTCCAGGACCTGCGCTAGGTGCACAGGGGAGGGAATGAAGCCCAAGAACACGCCTCTTTCCTAGGGGCTCTCAGGCCAGTGGGAGGGGCTGGAGGTGCTTGGATGCAGAGGACGCGCGTGTTAGCTGGGCTGACGAGGTGGGGAGCGGCTGGCCCCACACCACTACCACTACTGCTTGCTTGGGTCAGGACAACCAGAGCTGGGGCGTAGCCAGGACCTAGGTGAGCTCACCCGCGCCAGGCCTGCGGGGGCAGCCGGAGCTGCTGAGCTGCCAGCTCTCCCGGAGGGACAGGGAGGCGCTGTCTCAGGATCGTGGTCCTGGGGGGGCACTCCAAGCGCCCCCAGCCAGAGCCACTATGCAGACGGTAACCCAGAGTTTTCTATTGTTTTAACTGAAAATTTAGGGGTTATCTGATTTTCCGGCAGCTCTCCCTCCCTCCAATTTGCTTGATTCTCAAACCAGTTAATATGCTCCTGGATAATTAAGAAGTAAAAGTATATACTCAGGCCATTACGAGACAAAGTAAACTCAAGCCCCACCTCCTCTCTGAGCTGACTCCACTGTTCGGCGGCCTGATTGCTCTTTCCCCTGCGACCCTCCATCTACTCCTTCTTGTTTTAGCTCAGGCTTGGGCTCCACTGGCTTCTGCAGCACGGACGAGGTTACAACCACTCTCCATGACGTGGTTCTGTAGGAACAGGGATTCTGTGCTAAGGTAGTAACAGCAAACCTGCCTCCCACACCCCTACCTGGGGCAGCTGCTCCACGGCCCCCTGGGTCTGGGGAAGGGACGAGAGGGGAGGCGAGCGCAGAGCAGCAGGTAGGCCTCACTTCTCTCCTTTCAACGTTCAACCGGAGCTGCTTGCTTTTTATCTTGACTATGTTGGGCTTCAGTATATGATTCCTTTTGAACACGGAATCCTGCTGTCAAGCAAAAAATATTGAAAAACCACTGTTTTAAGAAAGCTGGTATTAAGAGGAAGGCTGAACTAGTGATTGTAAAGAAGTTTGCTCGTGGACTTGACATAAGAATCTCAAGGGGCAAACGCACTGTTATTCCTGGACATCCTCCAAGTTCACGCTCTCTTGACTCTGCTACGTTCTAAAATCATTGTAGCCTAGATCTTTGTTTCAGCATGCGATGTTCAGTCATGTCTTAACCCTGAAGAGCATGCAGTGGCATTCAGACTGAGGGGATTTTAAAGATACATATGTTTAAATGTTTGCATTATTTGCATTTGCACTGGGGATGCGGTAGTTTTAGAATTTGTTTATAAATTGCCCTTTTCCTAAACATACTTTTTATTCTCATGTTCTAAAGATAACACTGAAAAATATTTTATTTTCTTTGTGTCTAGGCTAGAAATTACTACATAATTTCAAAATATGGTAACCTTGATTATTTTCCTCACGGGAGAATTTTGGGGTACACCGAGGGATTTGTCCTGAGACACAGCTTCTGTGGAAGCAGCACTGTTCACCACCTGCTTGCTTACGAGAGGCGATGCTGGGATGTGATAAAAGCTGGAGCCAGGAATCAGAAGCCAGGCATTTCTGACTCTCCTGCTCACCATGATTCTAGTAAGTTCTTAACAGCTTGAACCCCAGGAACAAGGATCCTAGCCTTGGTGAATTCAGAGGCTTGTTTTGGGCTGAAATGACTAACGCTCATGAACGGTTTCTGCAAATATCAAGAGCTCTACAGATCCAGGTGGCTGTGTCACCTGACGAGAGCCAGGCTCCGCCTCTTCGCGGGCAATGACGCTTGTCGCCTAGACGTCCTGACTCATCGCTCTGTATGCTGAGGTTCAGTGTCTTCAAAGAGAAAAAGAAAACTGAAAAAGCTGTAGGACTTACCTGGAGTAACGGCGTAGGGATTTTTCATGATCTTTATATAAAAGCCATTTTTAAAGAAAGAAAAATGGATTATCATGCTTTTATATTTGTATTTGAATTGTATTGCAGACCACCCTGCTATCACTGCTCTGTACAGGCTTGGCATTTATGTTTTCAGTCCAAAGAACTTCTCCTTCCTTTATTGTGTTTAGAACAGAGGTGTTACAGAGGAGGAGGTAACGACAGTAATCCTTCGTATTTTCTTTATCTTGTTTCTGTCCAGGAAGGAATCAGTACTAACAGGAGAGCATTAATCTTTGGCACATGTTTTAAGTGTGTGAACAGCACACACCATGTCATTTGTGTTAAAACAGAGAGCCATTACAAAGATGACTGCAGAAACTGTAAAGCTTTGTCTTTTTTTCTTCTAAAAGAAATTTTAGGATACTACATAGCTTAAAGTACTTCATATTTTTCATTTTTAAAAATCCCTGAGTTTTCAGACCTAGTACATCAGAGCTGCCCTTGATCCGTGTAGAGCTGGAACAGTGAGTCCCCTTCCCTCATCTTGTGTTGTTACAGAATAAATGGGTTGTTTCAGTAAACATGATTCATGTGGGAAAAAACTGCGTATTTAATTCCAAACTATTCCTTAGACTGGAGAAAAAAATCTCTTTTGGTGCAGTCATGTTTATTTTACAGTAACTCTGTAGCTGAACAATTTATTATGTTAATGCAGAAATACAAACAGCTTTATCGAACAAAATACTTACTTACATTTTCTAGCTGCCTTACAGAAATAATTTACTCAAGAAAACAGAACAAAATTTCTCAGTTTCATTAATCAGCTTTGTAAATATTTTGCCAGAGCTTTTTTTTCTTGGGGTAAGAGAAGCAAATAAGAAAGTTTAAAAGCTCATATGTGTCTATTTTGTTTTAGCTTGGTGTATTTATTAAGCGTAAATTCTGTATGTCTTTGCAGTTCATCAATGTGTGTATTTAGGAGTCTTTCCAATTCTTTTGCTCGCTTCTCCTCCTCCAGAAGGAAATGCTGTGCAGCCAGAGAAGCTGGGAAGGATATATCTGGGGGAGACTAAAGAGAGAAAGAGGGAAAAGTTAGATGAGGAACACAATGCCTTTTAAAATCTTTGTAATTCCGAGCATGGTTCATCCCTGACAAACTAGCAAATGCTGCAGCTCTTACTGAAATACTGTACCTTACGCTGAACCCCCTCTACCAGTGTAACGCAGTCACTGCTAGTGAAATCCTCAAGGAAGGAAAACATCACAGCATCCTTACATTAAAAAGCTCCAGTGTTCTACTGCAAATGCCGGGATAATGTAATTACCACAGAACTTGCCTAAAATGTACTCCACTCATTTGCAAAACCAATGATTTGCATCTGAAAATAGGCAACTCCAAAAAGCTAAAGATCATACTAGACTGGGCAAAGAAAGCTTATATAAGAAGTAAATTAAGGACTGGTGTAAAAGGGGGCTCCTTGCTGCGTGGAGTTAGCGGGTGGGGAGGGCTGGCGGCATGATGTATCTCAAGGGAAGAGTGGCTGCTTATGGCGGGGCATCTCAGTGCTGGGGCGTATCTTATGTGTCCAGTTACAGCTGAGGACGTCTCAGTGATGAGCGCCCAGTTCCACCCTGCATGGTGGTATGGAAGTGCTCATCTAACCGTGACCTGCTAAGTGCTTATTTATACACACACACACACAGAATCTGTGGCTGAGGAATAAAGGGCAATATCAGATACTTTAACAGTGTTTCATTCAAAATAATTTTAAGCTAATTAAAAAATAAAGTTAGTGAAATTCGTACTTTAATTTTTTAGTTCTGTGGTCCCCAGACTCTTCTATTTAATACTCAGTGAGGATGTTCAGAGCAGAATTCACACAGACACAGCAGTACACATCCATGTTCTCGCCCCAATGGTATGTTTTATGTTAATGATGTTGTCACAACACATTCTGAAGAAGCCTGGACCATCTGGACAGTCCAAGGACTACAGACTATAAGACATCATCTGTTGACATAAACATCATGCTAAGACCTGATGAGCAAGAAGTAGCAGGCATGTCGAAGGCCTGGAAAGACACAGGTACTCTAGAGAGTGAAAGATGCCCCCCCAAGTGATTCAGGGCTTGACACCATGTTTGTAGGTGTCTGGTGATACAGACATGTCAGGACATCTCTTAAGCAGAAACGGGAGGAAGGAAAGGAAGGAAGGAAAAGGTGAATTAATTTCTGCTGTGGTATACTATAACACATCTTTTTTATCCAGTCATCTGTTGATGAACACTTAGGTTGTTTCCATATCTTGTCAATTGTGAATAATGCTGCTATGGACACTAGGGTGCATGTATCTTTTCAAATTAGTCTTTTTGTTTTTGTTGGTTTTTTTTTTTTTTTTGGATGTACACTCAGGAGTAGGATTGCTGGGTCAAATGGGAGTTCTAGTTTTAGTTTTTTGAAAAACTTCCATACTGTTTTCCACAGTGGCTGCACCAATTTACATTCCCACCAGCAGTGTACAAGGGTCTGTTGTCTCGGCATCCTTACCAACGTTTGTTACCTGTGTTCTTTTTGAAGACAGCCATTCTGACAGGCGTGAAGTGGTATCTTATTTTGATTTTGTTTCGCGTTTCCCTGATTAACAATGTTGAGTATCTTTTCATGTGCCTGTTGGCCATCTGCATTTCCTCTTTGGAAAAATGTCTGTTCAGTTCTTCAGCCCATTTTTTAATCGAGTTGCTTGTTTTTTGCTGTTGAGTGGTATGAGCTGTTTGTGTATGTTGGATGTTAATCCCTTATCGGTTATTTCATTTGCAGTTATTTTCTCCTTTCAATACATTGTCTTTTCATTTTGTTTATGGTTTCCTTTGCTGTGCAAAAGCTTTTCGGTTTAATTTGGTCCCATTTGTTTATTTTGGCTTTTATTTCCTTTACTTTAGGAGAAGGATTCAAAAAAACTGCTGTGATTTATGATAAAGAGTGTTCTCCCTATGTTTTCCTCTAGTAGTTTTATAGCATCCAGTCTTACATTTAGGTCTTTAACCCGTTTTGAGTTTATTTTTGTAAATGGTGTTAGAGAATGTTCTAATTTCATTCTTTTACACGAACTTGCCCGGTTTCCCCTGCACTACTTATTGAAGAGACTGCCTTTTGTCCATTGTCTATTCTTGCCTCCTCTGTCTTAGATTAATTGCCCGATAAGTGCAGGGGTTTACTTCTGGGCTCCCTGTTCTGTTCCATTGATCTATGTGTCTGTTTTTGTGCCAGTAACATGTTTTGATTAATACAGCTTTGTAGTAGAGTCTGAAGTCAGGGAATGTGATTCCTCTAGCTCTGTTCCTCTTTCTCAAGACTGTTTTGGTTATTCAGGGTCTTTTGTGTTTCAAAATTTTTAAAAAATTATTTGTTCTAGTTATGTGAATAATGCCATTTCTATTTTGATTGAGATTGCATTGAACCTGAAGATTGCCTTGGATAGTATGGTCATTTTAACAATACTGATTCTTCCAATCCAAGAACATGGTGTATCTGTCTATCTGTTTGTGTGGTCTTCAATTTCTTTCATTAGTATCTTAGAGTTTTTAGAGTACAGTTCTTTTGCCTCCTTAGGCAGGTTTATTCCTAGGTATTTTATTGTTTTAGATGCGATGATAAATGGGATTGTTTCCTTAATTTCTCTTTCTGATACTTCATTGTTAATGTATAGAAATGCAACAGATTTCTGTATATTAATTTTGTATCCTGCAACTTTACCAGATTCACTGATGAGCTCTAGGAGTTTTCTGGTGGCATCTATGATTTTCTTATTTTGTTTATTTTTTGGTTTTTGTTTTGGGGGTAATTAGGTTTATTTATTTATTTGTTTATTTTGATGGAGGTGCTGGGGATTGAACCCACTGAACTGTGCCCTCCCCCTATGATTTTCTATGTATAGTTATCATGTCATCTGCAAACAGTGACAGTTTTACTTCTTCCTTTCCAATCTGGATTCCTTTTTTTTTTTAACTTTTAAAAATTGAAGTATAGTTGATTTACAATGTTGTGTTTGTTAGCTTCTGGTGTATAGCATATTCATTCAGTGTGTGTGTATATATATATATATATAATACATATATATGTTCTCTTTCATTATAGGTTATTACAAGGTATTGAATATAGTTCCTCATGCTTGTTTATTTTATATATGGTAGTTTTTATCTGCTAATCCCAAACTCCTCATTTATCCCTCCTTCTCTTCCCCTTTGGTAACCATTGGTTTTCTATGTCTGTGTGTCTGTTTCTGTTTTGTAACTAAGATCATTTGTGCCATTTTTTTAGATTTCACATATCACTGATACCGTATGATATTTGTCTTTCTCTATCTGATTTATGTCACTTAGCATGATAATTTCTAGGTCCATCCAATTTGCTGCAAATGACATTATTTCATCCTTTTTTATTGCTGAGTAGTATTCCATTGTAAAAATACACAAGTTTTTTATCCAGTCAGCTGTAGATGGGCACTTAGGTTGCTTCCATGTCTTGGCTATAGTATATAGTGCTGCTATGAACATTGGGGGTGCATGTATCTTTTTGAATTAAGAGTTTTCTCTGGCTATATGCCCAGGAGTGGGATTGCTGGATCATACGGTAACTCTAGTTTTGTTAAGGAACCTTCATACTGTTTTCCATAGTGGCTGTACCAAACTACATTCCCACCAACAGTGTAGGAAAGTTCCCTTTTCTCCACACCCTCTCCAGCATTTATTGTTTGTGGACTTTTTAATGATGGCCATTTTGGTGTGAAGTGGTACCTTACTTTCGTTTTGATTAGCATTTCTCTGATAATTAGTGATATTCAGCATCTTTTCATGTGCCTATTGGTCATCTGTATGTCTTTATTGAATTGTCTATTTAGGTCTTCTGCCCATGTTTTGATTGGGTTTTTTGTTGTTATTGTTGTTGTTGTCATTGAGTTGTATGAGCTATTTATATATTCTGGAAATTAATCCCTTGCCAGTCTCATTGTTTACAAATATTTTCTCCCCATCTGTAGGTTGTTCTTTCATCTTGTTTATGGTTTCCTTTGCTGTGCAAAACGTATGTTCAATTAAGTCCCCTTTGTTTATTTTCGCTTTTACTTATATTGCCTTGGGAGATGGACCAAGGAACACCCTGCTATGATTTATGTCAGTGAATGTTTTGCCTATGTTTTCTTCTAGGAGGTTTATAGTGTCTTGTCTTATATTTAAGTCTTTAAGCCATTTTGAGTTTATTGTTGAGGATGGTGTGAGGGAGTGCTCTACTTCACTGACTTACATGTGGTTGTCCAGGTTTCCCAGCACCACCTGATGAAGAGACTGTCTTTTCTCCATTGTATAATCTTGCCTCCTTTGTTGAAGATTAACTGAATCTAGGTGTGTGGGTCGATTCCTTTTATTTGTTTTTTTCTCTGGTTGTTGTGGCTCTAGGACTTCAAAACTATGCTGAATAAAAGTGGCAAGAGTGGAGTCCTTTTCTTGTTCCTGATCTTAGAGGGAGTGCTTTCAGCTTCTCACTGTTGAGTATGATGTTAGCTGGGAGTTTGTCATCTGTGGCCTTTGTTATGAGGCATGTTCCCTCTATGCCCACTTTCTGGAGAGTTTTTATCATAAATGGATGTTGAATTTTATCAAGAGTTTTTTCTGAATCTACTGAGATGATCGTATGGTTTCTATTGTTCAACTTGTTAATGTGGTGTATCACACTAATTGATTTGCAGATACTGAAAAATCTGCACCTTGCCTTTTTTATTTATGTATTTATTTTACAGCATCATATTTTTAAATTGAAGTATAGCTGATGTACAATATTATATGTTACAGATATACAATACAATAATTCACCATTTTAAAGGTTATACTCCATTTATAGTTATTATAAAATACTGGCTATACTCCC